GTCTAAACCGGCCCTGGGCCTCCCCTAGGTGAACTCAGCCTCAAATTATTGCCCGGTACGATGTGTAGTAAACATCGCCACTGGGGAGACAAAGGCGTCCGGGCGTGGTGCTGGCCACCCACCCCCTCGTGTGCCGCAGTGCCGGCAGCCTTCAGAGCTGCTACTCGCTAACAGCACTTGGCCCTACAGTCTGCACAGGCTACAAGGAGGTTCGTCGTTGTTTGTGGTGCTCGTGTTGAGTTTGCACGATCATCACAAATGAATTATTGCAGCGCCAGGGCTCCGTCTGCCGTTGTTGCCGCGTCAAAGCGTCGCCGTCATCACGGCGCCGTTATTGGTGCGTGGCTAATATCTTGGCATTGCTCTGAGGATCTTGATTTAGTTTTTTGTGGGGGTTTTTTGTAGCACGAAAAACATGGGGACTGGCTTCAAAATGTACCAAGCGCGAAGTTCAAGTGGGAGTTTGCGGAGGGGGGTGGGAAGTGTTTTCTGGAATTCGGCCCCTGACAACTCCCGCGGACATTTAAGCCCTGGGGGTTACTGTTTTGGTGTACCCGTGCCAACCTGGGGTCGGGCCAGTTGTGCAGCGGGGGACAGCGTTACGTTTCATTTCCGGCCGCGGCTAACATCAGTGGCGACAGAGATCTTGAGCCCTTGCTGGGCCTCTCCGCCTTTCACGAAGCGGCACTCGCTCCCCGCGTGAGCGCGGATTTCGCCCCTTTTGGAACAAACGTTCCGCGCGACTCACCCGCCGAGATGGCGCCCTCAACTGGGTGAAAGTCGCTCTGGTTTTTACCGAAAGGAACAGAGAGTATGGATTCCTGCAGTCACGAAAGCTTCAAATCAAGATTGTTGAAAGTCGCCTACCCGCCGGGCGCGACCGCGCACTTCGTACGAACGCGACGAATCCCAGCGTCGAGCGAGCCGGAAGTGTGACGTCACGAAGACGTCACAATGGTAACGTCACTTCCGTGTGGTTGTTTTTTCTCTCTTCCCCCCCCTCAGCGAAGGTGGTGCCACGTGGCGTTGAGATGCGTTCATTTACTACAAAGTAAATGTTTCGTGAGAAAGCAATAAAAACTCCATTTATATCGCGTAAATATAACTGTGTTGTTCAACCCGCCACCACCCAACACAGCCACTTAGTAAAGTTTGTCACGTTCCTAGTACAGCACACCGGTGTGTAGGAGAGTGAACCCACAACATACTCTTGGGTTCTTTCGGTAAAGTCACGTAGGTATAAAATAAAATAAATCACGACGTTTCGGGCGCAACACAAGCGTCCGTCATCAGGTGTGAAAACTACGGCAAGAAAAGTTTAGCTGAAGTGGGAGAGATGCTGTGGTAAGGGGTATATATAACCCCAAACGTCGTGAGAATTTTTGTTTTATTTTTATTACTTTATCTTTCCCTTCTACGTGACTTTACCGAAAGAACCAAGAATATGAAACTTACTAATTGGCTGCATCGGGTTGGTGGCGGGCTTAACGACGCATTTATATTTACGCAATCTCACCCCAAAAAAAACCCTGCGCTATGGATATTGGTCGTGAAAGCCTCCGACTCAAGCGTTCAACTCGTTTTACACCACGTGTCAACACGGCAAGAGTTTAGAACTGGCAATATTTGGGGTCTCACTGCCACCTTGTGGCCTACAGCAAAATAAAAACCCTGACCAGTCACACTCGGGCGTTCCTCAACATCCAGGGTGACCTGCAGACCCACCCCCCACCACCCCCGCAATTCATCGTCAGAGTGATTTCCTGCTCAAATGAGCATCGAGGGATGTTTACTTCCCGTTCACAGCCCCTGAAGCCAGTGGTGACACTTACACGTTCCTATGGCAGGTGTGAGTGGGGGAGCGAGGCTATTCCGTAGAGCAGTGCTTCTTCTCCACCACCCAACACAACCAGTGCGAGATGCCCTTTCTGGGGGGACGTGGGCAGATTTTTTCGTGTAGAAGGTAAGTCATTGAAAACGCAATTTCAGCACGGGGCATGCAAGTTACAACTTGCTTTGTTTCTACATCGTTAGACCTCCTTTGCCAGTACCAAAATATAATTGGGTTTTGGCAAAGAAGGTCTAATGGTGTAGATTATTACCCCGAGCTCTCATTACTTTCATAGTGCATTGTCTTGGAGCTGTACGCCTTTTGGCGTCCTCTGGTCTAGCACCAATTGAGACGAGGCTCCAAAGTAAGCCGTCTCTGGTGTGGACCAATCAGTTTCAAGGACAATGCATATATTACACTGGTCAACACACTTTTTCTGGCTAAAGGTATTCCAACGGTTCTAATGTAATTGTGGGGTGCTGATTCCAAATCTGGCATCAATTTTTGTCTATCACATCAGGTTTTTGAGATATCAAATATTGCATTTTCAATCAAAACTGCATAAGAAAAATATTAAATAAACGTGGACATCTACATAAAATGATATTAAAAACACACTATCCTAAAATACAGCACCATATTTTAACATTAAAGCAGTCACTGACTCGCAACAACTTGCAATCATAAGTGACAGAGTTAATTTCGGGTAAAATCAATGAAAATGGGGTATGACGATAGCATAAAAATGAGATGTGGTAGAGCAAATCTGAGACCAGATTTGGAATCAGCACCCTGAAATTAGTCTAGAACAGCTGCAAAAGTCCAGGACAGAAAAAAATGTTTTTGTTTTGTTGACCAGTGTTATCAGTGTTTTTTGTTTGCATTTTGACCACAAGTATTGTGGTTAATGCACGCATGATTCCTCGTAAAAAGGTTTCAGTTTTGTTGCCAGAATAAAGGGGAAACCCCTATTATTCCTTTGTTCCATCAAACCCTGTGCATTTATAAAAAAAAAATATGATTGAGAACCAAGCGGGTACAAGGCTGCAGCAATAGGTGAAAAACCACTGCAACAACGCATCCATCAATCCATCCGCTGTCGACTTCTCCAGAGTGGCTACTCGTATTTAGAAGCGAACCCGGAGGGTTGATGGGGTCGAGCCAACTCCCCCCCCCCCCAGCCAGAATGTGAACTCGCGAACTTTTCCCGATCGCGAAGCCACTGGGCCACCCCCCGTAGCACCACGTCCATCTCCAACGAGCCCGGAGCCGTTCTTTCTCGCCCAGTGGCATTCGCAACGAGAGATATTTTTCGAACGGATTTTTGTAATTCAATACTTTTCGTTGGAGATTGGTGGGTGGTGGTGGGGGGAGACGTGTAAAGAGGCCTTGAAATAAAGTGTGCATTGTCTTTGTCGTGTAATCACCCACCTGTTGTAACGTGTTTTTTTCGAGTGGGGTATCTGTAAATGGATCGCCCTGTATAATTGGCAATTCGTAAAAAATAATAGGTATTCTTGGTTCTTTCGGTAAAGTCATGTAGAAGGGAAATAATAAAATAATAAAAATAAAACAATGAAATTCTCACGACGTTTCGATTGCAACACAAGCAATCGTCATCAGGTGTGAAAACCACAGCAAGAAAAACATTTTCACAGAAATGTTTTATTACATTTTCTTGCTGTGGTTTTCACACCTGACGATGATTGCTTGTGTTGCAATCGAAACGTCGTGAGAATTGTATTGGTTTATTATTTTATTATTTCCCTTCTACGTGACTTTCCCGAAAGAACCACGAATATGAATCCCTGCAGTCACGAAAGCTTTAAATCGAAATATAATAATCGGCGTTTACCATTTTGCGTAAATAAAACAGGAGTTGCGTTAAGGATGCTCAAACACCAAAATAGAAACCTTCTTGCCAGGAATCAAGTTATTGCATTAACCACACAAACAGTAGTAGGGTGAACATGCAGACAGACACGGCTCTGATACTAATGTATGATGCGTTGTCTTTGAGACTGATTGGCCTACACCAGAGAGAAAGCCGCGTTCTTCACGTCCCAGTCCCACCATCAGTGTCAGACCAGAGAACAACGCCAAAAGGCGAACAGGACAATGACAATGCCACGCGTCTCAGAGCATTCATAGCTCGGTGTGAGCAGCTATAGCATGGGACCTTTTTCCAGTTTTAAAGTATCAAAAATAAGAGTAGATTTGATCCTTTCTGGCAATAGGAGGTATTACATTCCAACACCACAATAGAAACCTTTTGCAAGCAATCAAGTTGCTGCATTGACCACACACACTAGTTGAGGTGAACATGCAATAAATGTACTCTGGTAATCTATGACGCGTTGTCTTTGAGACTGATTGGTGGCTGCTAACGAGCACTGCCGTCAGAAGGGCCTCCGGTAGAGCGAGCTCCGTAGGGGGAGGAGCTCCTCTATCTCGGGAGGTTGTTTTTGGTCGACTCTTCCATTGTGTCTCTGTGCGTCTCTCTGCGTGTCTCTCTATGGCTCTACCCCATGTGTGTCTCTCTCTCTGTCTCTCCATGTCTCTCTCTCCCCGATGTCTCTCCGTGTCTGTTTGTCTCTGTCTCTCTGTGTCTCTGTCTCTCCCCGATGTGTCTCTGTGTCTCTCGGTCTCTCTCTCCGTGTCTCTGTTTGTCTCTCTCCCCGATGTGTCTCTCCCCGGTGTCTCTCTCTCTGTTTGTCTCTCTCCCCAATGTGTATGTCTCTGTCTCTCTCCGCGTCTCTGTGTATGTCTCTGTCTCCGTGTCTGTGTTTGTCTCTCTCTCCCCGAGCTTGCATTCATTCACACCTGATGGCGGTTGCTTGTGTTGCAATCGAAACGTCACATTCTATTATTTATTTTATTTTCTTTCTACGTGACTTTACCGAAAAAACCAAAGAGTAATTCCTGCAGTCACGAAAGCTTCAACTAAAGTTTCTTCCATTCAAGGCCAGACGTCTTGGTAAGAGGGTGGTAGTGCCCACCACACTTTTCCCCACCTGCAGATTCACCAACTGCGGAGTTACCCATCTGCACTGACGAGCGGACAGAAAACAGAAACTGCCACCAATTATTTCAAACGCCGTGCCGGACGATCGTACCGATCCGACGACCTCTGGATTCATCAAAGAGAAGAGAAAACAAGACCCCGACGTCGTTTAAAAGTCTACAGTTTAATGTGTTCACAACCTGCCTCTGATCCTTCTAAAACACGTTACAAAAAAACCCTCAAACCGTTTCAACAAATGCCCAACAGTTTCGCTCCAGCTTAGCGGAGGCACGCAGACCAGAGCCATCGCTCCAGACTGGCGTCTCTCAAAACTCCAGTCCCACCGGTGTGCTGGCTTTCCTCGGTGACCAAATGCCGAGCATGTGCAGCGCGTAGCAGAACAATCCGTAGACCAATTAAATGTTTACGGCAAGGGCGGGGAACCTTTTTTTTGCCAAGGGCCATTTGGATATTTATAACATCACTCGCGGGCCATACAAAATTATCAACTTAAAAATTAGCCCGTTATATTCGGTCAAACATTTAATTAACTCGCCCCTAATGCGATGGCTGGAACTGCTTCTCTTTGGCGAGGCGTGTGATGTTAGCTGGTATTGATGATGTTGCTGCTACTCGCAACTGCTTTTCCAGGTTGGCTCCGAGATTTATTGAATTTCGAGTCCCGCCTGCGGTTGCCTTGGCAGGGCCACACCAAATGATTTCGCGGGCCTCATACGGCCCGCGGGCCGAACGTTCCCCACCCCTGGTTAACGGGGCAATTGTATGAGAGGGTTCGCGGCGCGAGCCCAGCGACCACCCTGGTCAATACCTGCGAATGCAATGGCCAGCTGGAATGGCCGCGTGTTAAAGAACGCCGCGACGTTATTCGAGAAGGGAAGGTCAAGGTATGCTGGCGTCACGTTTAGAAACCCGGCAACTTTGAAAACTAAATCTCGCAAATTACTCAACCGGGTAAAAACCGCGTGGCAACATCGCCCCCAACAGGCAGCCGAAACATCGTGGCAGCCTTGCGCTATGAGTGCGTCGCAAATATCAAACATTTTCAATTGTCATTATTAAAATTATTAATAGTAGTGGAGACGGGAGTTCGAGAAACACTGCGGGTTTGGATTGACATGTCAAGATCGTGCGGGGGGGGGGGATCACAATCGCCGTTGCCAGATCACCGAGCCAGCATCGCTGCCTGGGATCGTGGGTTCGAGTCCGGGTTCTAAAGCCACGCGTGATTCAACCGCATCCCCAGGGGAGAGTGGTCTGCTGGTCTCAGACCCGGCACGCCGTCGAATGCACGCAAGTAATTAGGACGTCAATAAAAATTAGGTTATCGACCGTTTGCATATTCCATTTAGCGAGTTACAAAACTTTCAGTTTCACCATCGACGCGTGACGAACCACGCTCTTTTAAGGATATATAAAAAGGTTTAGCACCTCGCGTAGACGGACAGATACGTCGGGCCTGACCACTCGGGGGACGGTCTCTCCGCTGTAGACGTGTGGTGGCACTGCCGGGTAGGTTTACAGAAGATGTGCGCTACCCCCCCCGCGCGCTCCGACGCGTTTCACTTCCGTCACGTTGCGACGTGCGCCGCTCCGCGGGCGAACCGCGCTACGAAGCCGGCGGCCCGAGTTCGATTCACAGCCACGGACAGAACATCGGCGACGAAATATCTGAACTAGTCCTGGGCCTCCCTCAAGGTCAGCTTGGCCTCAAGCGAGTACCTGTGCAGGGTCAGTTGACATCAGCAGCGGGGAGACAAAGGCGGTCGTGCGTGGTGCTACCCACTCCTCGTGACGTTCAACACGTAGGCTTTCGCGAACCAACATCATCCATAATGGGTTTTTTTTCATAGGTTAGAGCGCGCAAATATAAATGCGTCATTACCCCACCACCAATCGCCAAAGCCAATGAATGAAGTTTGTCACGTGAACAAAACGTGTCAGTTTCTACTTCAGCACACCGGCTGTGTCGGAAAGGAAAACCCACAACATTTACAATCCGAGTGCCGTGAAGTTTCGCCGGGGATTGCCACGTTGGCCTTCACAGGTGCTGCGCTGACAGCACTTGCCCCAAATGTGGGAGTCTCTGTTTGTTTGCCCTCCGCCAGGAAAAAGCGGGTTAGCTTATTGTTTAGGGTCGCTTCAGAAACTGAGAGTATTGGGTCCAGAATGTCCACAGGCCGATAGGCTAAGACGTGGGTTCATGGGTTTCTTGTATTTGCACGTGGAGAGACTTATGTCTGTATTACTTTATTACCCATCACCGTCCATGGTGGGGGGGGGGAGTAGTGGCACAGTGGTTAGTACGCTTCACTATGAACCTGGCGACCGGAGTTTCATTCCCAACCATTGCAAACATCAGTTGTGGAGTGGGGGGGGGACAGAATATGAATTTCTCTTCACCAACTCGTACTAACCAGCATGGTGAAGTATGGTCAAACAATCCCCGCGACCGAAGCTGCACTGGGAGGCCTTCATCCAGCAGTGGATTAACAAAGAGGTTGAAAATCATCTCACCGATCTTCCAGGACGGTGCACGCTGAGTTCGCGTACGGAACGACGCAGCTCCTACTCATTCACCGCAATCCTAAATGAAGGAAAAAAAAGAACCACGAGCGAATTTGTCGGGTAGCAGGGTGGCGTGGCATATGCTCGTGCCTCACTGCATGAAGGGCCTGGGTTCGATTCCCGACTTGGGGCAAACCGTTCCTTCGCGCAAAAGTTCCAAAATCTCTCCCCTGTTCTGCGCGGGGTTTTCTCCGCGTTCTCTGGTTCCCCCTCCCCCATAGTTAATCACGTACAAGTCATACTGGCCAAGACATCACCAAAAGTAGAACCCTCCCAGAAACAGACTCAAGTCTTCAAGACTTCAAGTGTGGGCCAAAAAAAATAACAACGTAATTACAGCATTCCACTTCCTGGTCATGCGCGTGGAATTAATGTTTTTTTGGTTTCGATTGGCTTTCAAACTCACGTAAGACCACGCGCCTCCCACCGGGTCAAACGCCGTTACATTGCCGGCAAATTCGAAACTGGGCACATTCACCCACTCCCATGCGTTGGCGCGGAGACTGGCGAGAGAGACGTCAACTCCTGCCCAGAGAGGTTCGTGAGAGCCACGGCGCCCACGGCCTCCCGTCCACGGTGAACCTTGCGCGCCCCAAAGCGGAACGAGGCGGCGGGAAAAATGTCTAAATCCGTGTGCTGCCAGAGAGCACGACAACTCGTAAAAACCCCGACACCGCAACGGATTTAAAAACAAAAATCTAGATTGTAAAGTAATTAAATTTCTGAAGAACTGATTTTCGTGTGTTTAGTTTGTTGTCATTCCTCCCCCCCTCCCCCGCACCTCCGATTAGCACGGTTAGCGACGTACTGTGCGGAAGATGGTCAGCGTACGCACGCGCACGTGCCAACAGGTAGAGGCGCAGCCCTGGAGCGTCTAGCTCTCGCCCCTGCTGGCGGATGGGCTCCCACCAGCAGGAGCTCCACGGTGGGAGTTGGCCTACGGTTCCACGCTGCCCCAGACGTGCTGGAAGAGGTGAGGGCAACCACGGCTTGACCCCACCAAAACGCAACCTTCCGATCACAAGGCATAACTGTGGTGGATCCGCTTACACTGCTGGGCGGACAGCGGCAGCAGGAAACGGCATTGACTAACCGGCGACCCCCGTAGTGCGTTGTCCATTGAGCTTCCAAGCGTTAAACCAGTGGCAGGCAACCATCTGTACCTTGCTGGTGTAGCCCCTGATCACGACGTTTCTAGCACCTTCGCTTGAAATAAAACAGCGAAATTCCACCACGAGCCGAGCACATTTTTTTTTTCCATGGGATAGTGACATCGCCACTCCAGATGGGAACGCAATGACTACCATCATCACCATCATCATCGTCGTCATCACACACCTGACCTCTTGCAGGACACTCTTTATAAATATTCGAGGTGTCTCCAAAACAGGAGCAGGTGAATAGTGTGAAGGTGCTCATATCAATTGGGCCAATGGTGGAAATTCTACATTTCTATGGCAAGAGCAAGTCTCTCCAAAGAGCAGCCACTGCTGACTTCTCAGAAAGTAGTACCGTTTCATGAACCGAAACTAAAAACTAAATTTTTTTTTTACTTTTTTTACCGATCTAAACACATTTTCTATCTACCAGGTAAGGCCCACTGAGATATGTAATTATTTTTATGAAGCAAACCTGACCATCACAATTGATAGCCCAATGAAGCGGCTTAGCTCGCGGGAAAAATATAATAGCAGCCGAATAACTCTAAACGCATAGTGACATTGATTCTAAATGTAGAGGGGAAAACACGGAGGACCCGGACATAAATCCACGCGACCACGGGGAGAACACGCACTTTACCGGAAGAACCAAGAATATTCCTTTGTTTCGTCAAACCCTATGAATTTCCTCACAATTCTTTTTACGATTCAGAAACAAAGGGGGTGCAAGGCTGCAGTAAATGTTAAGAACCACTGCTCTGGGAACTGCCCCGATGGCAGTGACATAACATCACTACTACTGGACACGATAACACCACGGCTATAAATGTGGGCCATGCCTCACACATACCGTCAACATGAGCTGGCCCCATAGCTGCAACATCACTCATGTAGTGTACAATTACTGCAATATGAATGTAAAAGAGCTTTTAGAAATGTGATAGGAGGAATGGGGAGCCTAGGACCAGACCACCCGGAATGCACCCGATACGGTGATTCCAAGCTAAGCAGCGTCGAGCTTGGACAGTGCTTGGATGGGTTATCGCCATGCATAACAGGCGTTATAGGCGTTGTGGTTAGCGGGAAGGCAGCGCAGAAAATCTGTCGCGCGTCCCGCACTCCCACTAAAACCTTCACCGACCTGCATTGACCAGCGTGAAGTATGATCAAAATCTCACATGTGGCCCGCAAGGTGCGGGGGAAGGCCCCCCCCCCCTTGTGCAGCAATGTAATGACAAACGGGCAGAGTGGGCCAGCACTCCCGAGACGGCGATTAAAACACAGCGTAGTGGTCATCTCCCTCCTCCGACAATGACAACAGAGATATCATGGGGGACCTCTTTTGCCAGTGTCGAAGTATGACAAATAAAATTATGCTTTAACCTTTCTGGCAATAAAACAGGTGGTGTGAAGATGCTCAAAAAACCAAATAGATGCCGTTTGTAAGGAATCAAGACTGCATTGACCACACACGGAAGGCAAATGGAGTCCGGAAGATCCGGTAGAGCTCACCAAATCGGCCAGAATGGGATTCAAGCCTGCCAAGTCCAGAAGCCTAGTCCTGAAAACGGCACTTGTCCAGGAAAGGTACCGATTTAAGATCGGAGAAGAGACCATCCCTCACCGTCAAGAAGCCTGTGAAGAGGTGGCACAGGGCCGAGCTCAACGACAAGAAGAGTTTGAAGGAGACGCTCTTGCAAGCCAACACTTGGATGACATCTCTGGAGAAGAGTGGCCTACCTGGCAAGTTTACGGCCTGGGGCTACCAACACGGGGGACTCCTCTGCTGCCCGCTGCCTATCTATGGAGATACCTCTGTCAACCCTTCTGGAGGCTCTAGAGAGGACAACCAACAACTTCCTCGGGAGATGGACGGCGCTCCCAAGAAGCTTCCGCTCCATCGGCCTGTACAAGGCAACGAAAGCTCGTAAGGCCACGATGCTGCGGGGGACATCATGCACGATAACGTTCGCCAGGCAAGAGATCCGAGTAAGAACGGTTCGCAAGTGGTCCAGCCAGCAGAGCGCTCGGGGAGGCGGAGGAATGGCCGCAACGCGCGGACATTGTCGGGTCGGTGAATCGAGGAGGCAGGCTGGGCCGGGGATGTACGACCAGGTGAAGCTGGAACAAAGCGGATCCAAAAGAGCGCCGTGGCATAGTGCAGAGAGAGGTCCGACACGCTGACGAAGCTGTAGCCGTGAAAGAAAATGGCAGCTGGACACGCCAGGAGAGCGTACGAGAGAGGGCACAGACCGAGCAAGACATCGGGAACATGGAAGGGTAGCGGATTATGTTTCTGCCCTGCTCTGTGTATGATGTGTTGCCCACACCAACAAATCTCCACACGTGGGGGCTGGAGGAAGGCCAGCCAGCCTGGAACACGTGGCTCTCCTCCTGCCAAGCAGGTCTGGCAGATGCAAAGTTCAGGTGGCGACATGACCAAATCCTCACTCAGCTGGCCGCGGGACTGGAGAAGCAGGTAGATAGCCAAGCCAACTAACCCAGGGCCCCTGTTTCATCCACTCAGGTCAGGAGAGAGGCTCCTTGCTACAGCAGGTGACTGGGAGATGTTGGCAGACCGCCGGAAGCAACATTGGTTCCCAGAGGTGATAGCCAGCACAAGCCTCAGACTGGACATCGTCCTTTGGTCTCGAGGAACCAAGCAGGTGGTCCTCATCAAGCTCACAGTGCCCTAGGGGGAGAGGATCGAGGAATCCCCATGAGCGGAGGCTCAGGAAATATCAGTGCCTCATCCTTGAGAGCCAGCAGGATGGACGGAGAGCATGGAATCTACCAGTCGAGCTCAGCTGCAGGGGGCTTGGCAGGACAAACACTGCGGAGGGCCCTGGGTGCTGCTCGGCATCGAAGGGGTGGCAAGGAAGGAGTCGGTGGCCGACGTCGGCAAGCAGGCTGAAGCGGCAACCCGTTGGATCTGGCTCAAGAGGAACGAGCGGTGGCAGAGCCAAACAGGCAGCAGGGAGGGGCAGGGCTGAGCGGAGGGGCGGATCGAGGGGCAAGTTCCAGGACGCTGGTTCTGCCATCGAGCCCCCCCTGAGGTGTCGTGGGCTCATCGACGAAACACCGGTGAAGGGGGAGGAGGGGTGCCCACTTGAGAACTCAGCTCAGTCCCAGTTAGGGGAGCAGTGTCTTGAATGAGGAACGGGGAGCGATTGAAGTGACACTTGGCCAACAGAAGCCACAGGGAAGCGAGTGCCTGTCAGGTGAGCCGGCAGCGATGATCCCCATCGCATTTCGGTTGTGGTGAACATGCAAACAAACATCATCCGATAATTTCTGCATTGTTTTTGAAACTGACTGACCACAAGTATTTGTGGTTAATCTATTTTGTGTTTGAACATCTGGACACCTGATTTTATTGCCTGAAAGGGTAAACTATTCTTATTTTTCAGACGTTCACAATAGCTTCGATACAAACTGAAGTTGTCAGCGAACGAACGCTTCAGATAGTGTTCGGCAGGACGCACAAAAGGCGCGCCTATCCGTCAAAGTCACGCATCGATTCTTGCGCTTCGCGACAGCGTGGCGCACCGGAGTCCTGATGGGTCTGCTTGTTGCAGGCGACCAGTTCGCATCAACCTCGCGGCCACGGGAGGCGGCCGGCTTCGCTCACCACCATGACCGGGAGAAACAAAATAATTCGATTGAAGCGCGACCCCTTCCCCCTCGATTCGTGACAAATCAAGCGAATCGCTCCCGGTTGATGGCCATAAATCGTTACCATTACAAAATGTTCGTCATGGGCGTACAAACGATATAAACCACACGTGACGTCCGTGTGGCCACCCCCCACTCTGACCCCCCCCCATACCCTCCACCGCCCACTGTGAAAACAGACTCCACTCCTATGCACAGCAGCAGTGGCAGCGTCCAGGCGCTGATGCAACCTCTCCCTCCTCCCTCTTCTCTACTCTGTTGAACCCTCCTTGACTCTACTCTCCTTCCTGTGGTGTAGCCACCAGTAAAAAGTTGCAAGTGCTTTTTCTTTTTTAGCACAGAAATGCTGATCCAACTACACGTTGTCCGCAAACGTTTCATGCACTGTCAAAATTATAATTGTGGCAATCTGGGCCAAGTCAACACAACTGCACACAAACGCGTCCACACACACACACGCACACACACATGCGCAGACACGTGCCTACACACACGCGCGTGCGGTAGCGTACGAGTCCAGTCCCACTAAACCTCCACGGTGCAAGCACAAATCCCATCATGCCTTGCGTGCACCTCCCATTAATGTAACAGCCGCATTGAATGAGCAACGCTCTCAGCGTTGTCCAGACCGCCAACTCAAGGGCTGAATGTGCGACACCCCTGAACACTCGTTAGGCCACCCACATCTACAAGTTGGAAAAATGTGGCCATCCCAACATGCTGCTCAGCGGAACGGAGACCCAATAGGAAGCATTGAAAACAGAGAGGGCTGCAAACGGGCTCCGTCCTAATTAGGTTCGGGATGGCCACACTTTAGGGATGGCTGGGCGGGCGTTTCATAGGCTACGGAAACCACTTTGGATCCGGGAGCTGGACACTCAGCAGCTGGAAAGGAATTCGCTGACATATAAGCACGTGTGCCCAAGACATCTGCTGTGAAGTTAGTGACAAGACAGGAAAGGCAATGCACACGTCCGCAAGAGAACATGGCAGGTAAGTGGTGCAGATGGGAAGCAGGAAGGTGAAGGTTGCGCTGCAGGACATGCGTGCAGGATGTTAGAGGGCCGATTACCGTGACCTGCGATGGAGGGGTCTCCACGAGTCCGGTGACCTGGGGGAGGAAAACACCGAAAAGCAAGTGGTGGGATACTCTTGTCAGGTGCAGATCTATGGGTCTCTGTGTGAGTCTGTGGGTCTCGATGAGTCTGTGGTTTTCTGTGTCAGCATGTGTGGGTCTCGGTGTAAGTCTGTGTAAGTCTGTGGGTCTCGGTGTGAGTCTGTGGGTCTCTGTGTAAGTCTGTGGGTCTCGATGTGAGTATGTGGGTCTTTGTGCGAGTCTGTAGTTCTCGATGAGTCTGTGGCTCTCTGTGTGAGTCTGTAGGTCTTGGTGTGAGACTGCGGGTCGCTATGCGAGTTTGTGGGTGTCTGTGTGAGAGTGTGGGTCACTTAGAGTCTTCAAATGTATTCCAGGACACTGTTAAGTGCAGAGCTTGGGAGGTCGCTCTGCGTGTACTGTGCAGAAGCAGTGGGTAGAAAGCATTTGTTGCAAGGTGTGGTGGTCACATAAATGGCTTTGAATGTTGATCTTGAATGAACCCCAGGTTTGGCGGAGTGGGTGGATGGGTAGGCGTTGAGCTCTGGGTTGGCGTTGGCGACCGATTTCCAGAATCGATTCTCAGAATCTGCCGCAGGCGAACGCGTTGATCACGTCCAGGGCGGCCGCGTCGAAGCCGCACACGTGAAGCACGCCGGCGTCGTCGGCGTCGCCGGCGGCGGCCACCGCCACGTCGCGGGTGAGGGTGCACACGACCAGCCGCGATGCCAGCCCCGTCTCCTACGACCGTCGCGGCACCGGGGAGGGAGCGGGCAGTCGAGAGTCGTCCGCTAACAGCTACTATTTGTTAAATGATTTTAATCGGGTGTAAGGCCCCCCACTGAGCTGCATAGCTCTTATTCAGAAGTGACGTGGCTGTCGCAAACGATAACTCGACAAAGTGACGCATCGTCGTCGTCGTGTGGTAATTCATAGTGGCAGCCAAACACTCTGAAGGCGTGTTGGTTGATAAACGTGGAGGTGAAAAAAAATCAGAGGACTCGAAGAAAAATCCACGCGACCAGGAGTAGAGCATGCAAACTATGTACAGCAGGCATCACCGTCACGATCGAAGGCACGGCCTCCTGTATACCAGGCGAGGTAGTTAACATCCCGCCATCATGGCCTAGTTATAGTCACGCGCGGCATGTTCACCAGCAAGACGCATGCCATCCGCCGCAACTTTCCGCTGGTGGGTTACCGGAACAACGCCACACAGCGAGTCGATTTTTATTTAACGAGGTGGGAGCTCAAGAGACCAGGTCGAGGCCTCGTTTGCAACAGTGACCTGGGACATTGCGTATAGCGTGATCCCAGCTGGGTCGTCCGTGGTCTCGCTTTCACGAGTTCGGCAAATTTGGGCCCTGGCGCCAACGCACGATGGCCAGCGCCGAGAGGGTGAAAGTTGGGGCGAGAGTTAACAAGAGATATAACATGACGATACCATGAGGGGTGATGGAAATTACATTTAGCCGTTTTTTTATTGGCATATGAACAGTTAATACTAATTGGTGGCTATCTAATAACAGACAAACCCTTCAATAATCCCAAAAATATTACTCCTAACATAAACCCGTTCGCATTAAAAGTAAAATGTTAACATGTTGAGGTCAGAGGAGCGACGCTCACAACAACGAGCGGAGCACCGGGCGGTTAAACCACAGCGAGTTGGCACAGTGGGGGGCACAGGTGGTTTATCGGCCAGTTATCTCAGTCAACCCATGGCACCTGCTGGGTCTGCCCCGTGACCTGCCAGCGAGCAGTCGACATTTCACATGGCCTTAAAGTGCAAATAGCCTGGCACACGCGCCATGGTGACGTCACCACCACTTCGTGGCGAATAGCGGCTGTTGTTGTGGGAATATCTGGTGCGGTAAGAAAAAGGGCACGGGGCATTGCCGAGTGGAGTGGCGATGGCAGCGTCACCGAATAATGTCGTCTCTTTCAGTCGGCCTGAGCGGCGCACGGGGTGGGGGGGGTGAGGGGAGGTGAGGGGGGGTCGGGGGTCGAACCTTGCGGTATTCCTGCAGGGCGACGGTCGGGTGGACGGCTCCCCAGGCGGCCTTCCTGTCGGTGAGAACCAGGAAGACGTCGACCGGCGTCCCCGTGTCACGTGCCCACGCCAGGAGCTGTGCGCAGTCCGTCGCGCCACGCGGGACCTGCTCAAACGCCGAGGCGGGCACCACAGTGGTTTAGAGGTGTTAACTACCTCGCCTGGTATGCGGTAGGGACGTGGGGTCGTTCCTGACCCTGACGCCACGGTGGCTAGGAGATGTTAACTACCTCGCCTGGTATGCGGGAGGGTCGTGGGGTCGATCCAGACCCTAATGCCACGGTGGCTTAGAGATGTTAACTACCTCGCCTGGTATGCGGGAGGGTCGTGGGGTCGATCCCGACCCTGACACCACGGTGGCTTAGAGATGTTAACTACCTCGCCTGGTATGCGGTAGGGTCGTAGGGTCGATCCCGACCCTGACGCCACGGTGGTTTAGAGATGTTAACTACCTTGCTTGGTATGCGGGAGGGTCGTGGGGTCGATCCTGACCCTGACACCACGGTGGCTTAGAGATGTTAACTACCTTGCTTGTTATGCGGGAGGGTCGTGGGGTCGATCCCGACCCTGACACCACGGTGGTTTAGAGATGTTAACTACCTTGCCTGGTATGCGGGAGGGTCGTGGGGTCGATCCCGACCCTGACGCCTGCTGCTGTATATTTTGCACGCACTGGAAGAGGCCGTCGCATGGCTCTGTGGCTACGTGGGCTCACGTCCACTGACGTAGCATTGACATGCGTACATATACATTTTATTTAGTGTTCTCGTGTATCTGGTGCTCTGTGTAAAAGTTATATGTAAAAGCATTCATTTTAACACGTAGGCTTTTAACACGTAGGCTTTCGCGACCAATATCATCCATAATACAGATTTCTTTTTTGGGTTAGATCGCGTAAATATAAAAAAAAGCATTCGCTAAATAAAAAAAATGTCTCTCTCCCCGTGGCCGTGTGGATTTTTCTCCACGTCCTCTGGTTTTTCCCCTTCCACATTTAGAATCAACGTCACGTGTTTAGAGTACTTAGCTGCTCATGTAGATTTCCACGTGGTAAGCCACTTCATTGAGCTATCATTTGTGGCCAGGTAAGTTCTGAAAAAGATCTCAATAGCTCAGTGGACACTTACCTGGTAAATAAACAAAAATGTTAAAATAGTTTATTTTACTCATAATAATGATGGTTTGCACTTATTAGGCGCCTTTCGCCGTCGCCAGGAAAGCGGAGATCAATGCGTTTTAGGAACCATCACAGAAAGCAGTCTAGTCCACGATTGCGTTTTGAAGGTCTCCTTTTTAACCCAGGTGAGGAACTTTCACCACAGCACAGAGAGGTGGCAAGACGCGCACAGCAAACGAGCGGAGCGCCGGGCGGCTAGAACGCAGCGAGTTGCCACAGAGTGCGGCACGGGTGGCGCATCTGCCGGTCATCTCGGTCAGTCAACCTATAGGCCCTAGGTCTGGCCAGTGACCTCCTTTCAGCCACGCTTCGAGCGATAGCCTCAAAAGTGCACCGCCACTGACAGTCATCGCCAGAGAGAGCGGTGGTGCAGCGGTTATGGCGCCGCGCTAGGAACCCGGCGATCCGAGTCCGATTCCCGCTCACGGCCAACACCGGTGACAATCATTTTAACCGGTCCTAGGCCTCTCCTAGGTTGCCTCAGCCTCAAATGAGTACATGTTGAGGTGTGCAGTAAACATCGTCACTGGGGAGACAAAGGCGACCGGGTGTGGTGCTGGCCACCCACCCCCTCGTGCGCCGTGTCAGCCTTCATAGGTGCTCGCTAACAGCACTTGCCCCAACAGCCTGTTAAGGCTACACGGGGGGGGGATCTGTCTTTTTTGCAGTGTTAGGGTCACCGTGCTCGGAACCCGACAGCCTGAGTTCAAGTCTCGGCCGCTGTTAACACATCGTTGGCAAGCAGCATCTCATTTGACCATGGGCCTCGAGTTGACTCGAGTCTTTTTTTTTCATCTGCACCTAGCCTGGCACAAGCACTCTGTGGGCAACGGCACCGTCACTTTGCGGCGAACGGCTGCTGCCGCCGCTGTTTTTAGTAGGAGACGTCCGGCGCCCACCTGGTCCATGATCCTCAGCACCTGGTCGAGCCGTAGGGAGGGGTCGATGGGCAGGGGGAGGAGCGTCTGCGAGAACGCCAGCACGGTGGCGCTCTGCTCCGTGTTGACGATCACCTGCAATCCCGCACGCGCGCGGACGCAAGCTGAGTGACGTAGTGCCCGCCGTACGTACGTACGATACATAGGCAACCGTGCTAATCGGAGGTGCGGGGGGAAGCACAACAAACTAAAGGCGACACAACCTACGACAAAAGTACATGCTAAACGATGAAAACTCATGCGCGCGCAAAGACCTGCCGTATCGTCCGTAACAGACTATTGGGGCAAGTGCTGTTAGCGAGCAGCACCGCGCCCGGCCGCCTTTGTCTCCCTAGCGGCGATGTTTACACACCTCACCAGGTATTCATTGAGGCTGAGTCGACCTAGAGAAGGCCCAGGAGTGGTTGAGATAATCGCCACTGGGTGTTGGCCGTGAGTGGGAATCGAACCCGGGTCGCCAGGTTCGTAGAGCAGCGTGAAAAACCGCTACACTACCGCTCCCCCCCCCCCCCACATACACACACACGTGGATTCTGAAACGCTATCCATGGCGCATTTGTCCCAGTAAAGTATTTATTTGGCGGTAATTAATTGGTAGCACTCTGCCAGGGGGGGATGCATCCCGTTATTACTCCGTCGCGAGTTCTCGACAGGGGGACACGTAACTTCACGCTGAAGTTTCGTTCAGATCGAATCGTCTTAACGAGCGCTACCGTAGTTGCCATGATTGTAAAGCATTAAACGGCAAGATTTAAAATATGAAAGTTCTATTGGAAAATATTTGTTTCTTTGGCAGCAAACGGTGGCGCAATGGGTCAATACACTTAAGCGAAGTGCGCTATGAACCCGGTGACCTGGGTTATAAACCCAACCGAGGCTAACATCAGTGGCGAGTGATGCTGGTACCCATCCCACCCCCAACCCCTTCACCAACACGCGCTCAACAAAAGAAACCCCACAACGTGTGCGGCACGTGGTGAAAAATCCACGGAAAAAAAATTCCACGGTCAAAAAAATCCGCCCACGTCACTCTGAAGGCACGCTGGCGCTTCAGCTCGTCGCACGAGCCCCTCTCGTCCACGTGGCCCCTGCTGCGTCTCACCCAGGCTAAACGATGAACCAGGTCGGTGTTGCACTCGTGGCTTTGTGCGTGCGTCGCTCGCTGCCTGTGCGGATGGCCGGGTCTTGAAAAAAAACACCAATTTTTACCGCGCGGGTGCCCAGTTCTTTTCTGCGCCGGTGGTTCTGGGCGAAGGCCAAGAGCTGTTGCGCACGCGACGCTACACACCGCACATGCGCCCCCGTCGCGTCTCATCGAATCCGTCTCACCAGGCTCAGAGCGGCCGCCAGGGTCTTGGCCATGAGCACCGGGGTGCCCAGGACGCCGCCGCACATCGAGATGCTCACGTCCACCGCCAGCAGGAAGCGCTTGCCCGTCGGCTGCACAACCTGGACGGCAAAGATTCAGGATGACATCAACGATGACATCCACAATTACATCCACAATGAGATCCGCGATGACATCCACGATATCATTGTGGATGTCATTGTGGATATCATTGTGGATGACATCCACCCACCCTCCCCATCCCCCATCCCCCTCCCCGACCTGCATGGAGGAGTAGAAGGTGGCGTCCAGGGCCTGCAGCACCGCCGGGTTGGGCCTCCACTTGAGCCGCCCTGTGCCCGCTTGGCCACGCTCGTAGGTCCTCAATGCCACCAATACGTGGAGTGGGTGCACGCGGGCCTTGTGGTGGGGGCGGACGGGCGGTAGAGGTCAAGGGCAATTGGGGATGGGTCGCGTTCGCTCGCTTCGTTGTCAATGACTGGTGGTCCGGTGTCTTTGTGCGTGTGTGGTTGGGGAGCGGTGGTGTAGTGGCCAGCGCACTGCCCTACGAACCCGGCTATGACCCGAGTTCGATTCCCGCCCACGGCCAACCCCGGTGATGATCATCTGATTCGGTCCTGGACCTCCCCTAGGTCGACTCAGCATTAAATGAGTAACCGGTGCGGTGTGTAAACATCGCCACTCGGGAGACAAAGGCGGCCGGGCGTGGTGTGACCCACCCACCCCCTTCGTGCGCCGTGCCAGCCTTCATAGGTGCTCGCTAACAGCAATTGCCCCGATGGTCTCTTACAGGTTATATGGGGGATCTCTGCGTTAGGCACAGAGGGGAGTACAGTCGATGCATCTGCCGGTCATCTCAGTCAGTGAACCCATGGCACCTGCTGGGTCTGTCCCGTGACCTCCGGCAGTAAATTTTCCTGCATTGCCCTCGACTGCCCACCGCGTAGCGCAGCCCCGCAGCTGCCGATGACGTCGAGGCATACACGGTACCATCTCCCACTCCCGCCCCCATCCCTCTTCCTCCCTACTACGCCTCCTCCACCCAAATTCATCCGTGCTTGGTCGCTCTGCTCCGATCGGGAAGGAGCGGTGTGAACTGAGATGATTTCGATGATTTCGCCGCTTTAAATGTCCACGTGATGATAGGCCGCTTCATTGAGCTATCATTTGTGGCCAGGTAGCTTCTGAAAAAACACATTCCTGCGGAGGGAGCTGGTAGTAACGTTGGGTTGCTCGGTCAATGGCCAGGGTCAACGGCGGCGTGGTGTATTCCGCAAATATGCCCGACTGTAAGGGCGGGCACAAGCCGACGTGAGTAGGTTAAACGTTGAGTTTTACAAAGGCACCACGGGGTGACAAAGCCCTCCCCACCCAGCCCCACCCCTCCCACCCAGCCCCTCCCCACCTTCCCCACCCAGCCCCTCCCCACCGTCCCCTCTCCACCCAGCCCCACCCCTCCCATTTTTGGATGCACGACGGACGACAGAATAATTCCCTGTGGGCTGGTGGAACCAGGAGGTTCCTACCAGTATAAGTTTACATCTCAGAAAGCTTTACTTGGTAAGATGCAAAATAACTTAGCTGTATTCACAGCGATTTTTTACCTTTCCTAAACTTGGCACTCCTATCGTGCTTATCGTGTCATTTGTTGTTGTAACGTTCTGACCCCGTGCCCCCTACTGGACATCTGTGATAAGTATAACCAGTAAAAACAAAGTTTTTCACTATAAATCCTTTATATGCATGGCGGCTAGAGTCCTCTCGTCCTCTGGCTTGAGATGGCTGCCACCTATGGGTCAGATGATTGCATCGCAGCATTAAGAAATTGGTAATTAAATACAATATTTTTGTCCTAAAAAGTGTAAAAAAATTTTTTCACGAACATTGTCGCGCACAACGAGTCTGTGTGGAAAATGTCAGCTCGATTGGATCACGGGAAGTGGGTTAAAAAACGACCGAAAATTTTACACGGTCGTAAGCAAGCAAGCAAGCACGCAAGCAAGCAAGCAAGCGAACTTAATATAAAGGATTTAAAAAAAGAGCTCTCATCGGATTCCTCCTCCGAGGATAAATACGATAGAGGGACTCCTCTGCTTACGAGCGAGTTAGGTTCTAGAAGTCTGTTCGTAAGTCGATTTGTTTGTAAGTCCAAATTTACTCCTGTCGATTCCAAACATGCTGTACGGCATGTACTCTAAACACGCGGAATGGCTTCATAAGTTGTTAAATCTCCTGTAGGCGTAGATGCCACTGGTTCATCATGTTCTATAGATATAGATGCCACTGGTTCTTCACATTCCGCAGATGTAGATGCCACTAATTTGTCACGTTCTGCAGAAGTAGATGCCACTGGTTGTTCATGTTCTACAGATGTAGATGCCACTGGTTCTTCATGTTCTGCAGATGTAGATGCCACTGGTTCTTCACGTTCTGCAGATGTAGATGCCACTGGTTCTTCACGTTCTGCAGATGTAGATGCCACTGGTTCTTCACATTCTGCAGATGTAGATGCCACTGGTTCTTCAGGTTCTGCAGATGCAGATGCTACTGGTTCTTCATGTTCTGCAGATGTAGATGTCACTGGTTCTTCACGTTCTGCAGATGTCACTGGTTCTTCACGTTCTAGAGATGTAGATGCCACCACCGCCATCTATTGCACGGCGGTTGAACTTACGACTCTCGGTCCGAACAGGCAACTGGACATACGGACCAGGTTTGTTTGTGTTTCTGAAAGCTTTTTAGTCGAATGTCCATAAGTCGAGGAGTCACTGAACCCTGATACTGATTCTGAACGCTTGTTAATGTCGTCCGTCGAAGCTATGCTAAACAGTTCTCTCCGGCTATCGGCAAGGAATATTCCCTGCTCCCCTCCCTTGCCTCTGCCTGAACGGTTCCTGGGGGGGAGCGCAGCGTCACACCCAGCGCGGCTCTGCACCCAGCGCGGCTCCGCACCCAGCATGGCACGGTACCTCGCGCAGCTCGTCGGTCTCCGCAAGCCTCTGGCACACGAGCGCCGCACCGGCGCTCTCGGGAGCCAGCAGGTCCAGCGCGGCCATCTTGCCCAGGCTCCTCAGCATGGCCGACACCGGCATCTCCTTCAGCAGCGCCAACCACACCTGGCATGGACCCCCCCCCCCACCCCAGCACCGTGAGCAGAACCCAACGCACGAATCTGGTCTCGTGTGCGTACGTTCAACACGTGACGATAACCACCGTTTGTTTTGATGGAACCGCCCGATACACCGGGGCGTCTCGGAGCACTTCACAATGCAATAGGCTCCTCAACACAATTGAAACATGGGGTGCCCAATCACCTACACACAACAACAACAACCGCCATTCGCCACAAAGTGGAGGTGACGTCACCACGACGCTTGTGCCAGGCCATGTGCACCTTAAGGCCACGTGAAGTGTCGAACGCCCGCTGGCAGGAGGTCACGGGGCAGACCTAGGTTCCACGGGTCGACTGACTGAGATGACCGAGATGACTGGCTGATGCACCACCTGTGCCCCCTACTGTACCAACTTGCTGTGCTTTAGCCACCCGGCGCTCCGCTAGTTGTTGTGAGCGTCGCTCCTCCGCCATCCGTTGTTGTTGGAGGGCGACTGCCTCCAACTGCCCAGTGTCGTCCTTCACGAGCCTCCTCCACAGAGGCCGATCTTGACACCGCTGGTACCAGTCATCGGCAAGTCCACTCAGTGCCACGTCCTCCTGTACCACATCACTCCATCTCTTCTCTAGCCCGTGCCGCGCCCATTTAGCCCCCTCGATCCGGCCGAACAAAAGCTGTTTAGGCATGTGATGGCTGGGCATGCGGGCTACATGACCCAGCCAACGCAGCCTTGCCTGCCGGAGGAGCTCACCGATGGGACTTTGCCCAGATCTTTCAAGGATTTGTGAGCTCCTCACACAATCCAGCCTGGTTAAACCCAGGATGGATCGTAGGCAAGCCAGCCTAAATGTTTCCAACCGGCGAAGATGCTCCATTAGGGGGGTCCACGTTTCGCAAGCGTAGAGAAGGGAGGGAATGACCATGGCCGAGAAGACCTAAAGCTTCGTGCGGAGCGACAGAACAGGTAGCTTCCACACAGCGTTACGCAACAGATGAAAATATATTGCCGTTCGACTGATTCGGAGTGAGACCTCTGCTGTTAAACTGGAGCCGGTCATAAGCACACTGCCCAGGTATGGGAAACTCTCCACTCTTCCACTACGTGCCCCATCACCGATTGGGAGTTGTGGGGGTGGAGTGTCCGATGGTACAAAATACCCAGGCAGGTGCTTAGTTTTGGTGGGGCTGATGGTAAGGCCACACCTCTTAGTGGCACGCTCCAGTCTCAGCAGCAGCAGTCTCCAACTCCTCTTCTGAATGAGCAGCTATTACCAAATCATCGGCATACATAACGTGGTTGACCAATAGTGAGCCATCCCTTGATCGCACCCGGGCATCGATCAGCCTCACATTATATCTGTACCAAATGGAAATTCCCCCGGTACAGCTATTGAAGGCTTCATGAACTACGTGGTCAAAATAGATGTTAAATAATGTGGGAGCCAGAGGACATCCCTGTCGCACCCCAAGGTATACAGGGAAAGGCTCCGACTCCCGGCCAGGTAGTTTTACCTGGGCCCGCTCACCATCATGAAGGTCCTTAATGATCGTGAGCAGAGGGTCAGGGACTCCAAAAGCACGAAGAACAACCCAGAGCCCAGGCCTACTGATGGTATCATAGGCCTTGACCAAGTCAATAAAGCAGAGATGTAGGTCTTGTTGGAATTCCCTACATCTCTGCTGTAGCAGACGGACAGAAAATATGGCATCCGTGCAGGACCGCCCTTTCCTGAAACCGCATTGGGGCTCCGCAAGCCTCTCGTCAGCGTGCCTAGCAAGGCGATATTGAATAATCCTTGCCAGGACCTTTCCCGGCACACTGAGGAGTGAGATGCCCCTGTAGTTGTTACAGTCTGTGCGGTCCCCCTTCTTAAAGATGGGGACCACCAAGGGCATCCTTCCAATCCTGCGGAACCCATGCAGTGGTCCAGACTGTTGTTATGATGTCATGTAGGGCAGTCTGTGCACAAACGCCATCCTCTGCCCGATGCCTTTCCTAGTCTCAGACTCCGGATTGCCTTCAGTACTTCCTCAACAGATGGCACCTCAGCCGGCCACTCACAGGGGGTGACCTCCAACACATACACACACAATCACCTACCCACACACACACACAATCACATGCCCACCCACACACACACACAATTACCTGCCCACCCACCCACACACACACCCACCCACCCACCAACCCAACCACCAGCCCGCCGAACTGCCCACCCGGGCGCGTGCCTCGCTCGCTTCGCCCGCCCAACAGCGCGCCCGCAGCGCCCACCTGCGGTGACTTGAGATGCTGGGTAAGCAGATGCTGCCACACCAGGCCGTGCTCGGCCACCAGCACCTCCACCTCTCCGCAGTCGCTGGCCCTGCGCACGCGTTCCACGGCGCTCAGGTAGCGCAGCATCGCGCGCAGCTCCTCGTGTCCATGGCCGGGCGCCCACGCTCCGTCTCCTGCCACCGCCGCCGGGCCCAAGCCGTCGCTCGGCCTCTCCCCGCCACCATCCTCCCGCTCCTCCTTCTCCCGCTCCTCCTCCAGCTGCCGCCGCCGCTGGGCGCGAGCGCCGCTTCCGCCTCCGCCGCCGGCGCCGGCACCGTCCGCGACTTTCTCACAGCCATCGTCGACCCCCGGGGGGCAGCGGTCGTTGTCCGCGCTGGCGACGTGCGCGTAGGCCTCCCTGGTCGCCTTCCAGCCGCGCGTGACGTACTTCGCCACCAGCTGCACGGCTAAGGGCGTGAGGGTGCGAGCGTGCAAAACGTTGGGGACGACCGGGGCACGTTTGGCGTTGGCGTCATGGGGGGGGGGGGGGGGTAACGTTGCTGCTGCTCTTGTGCAAAATCCCAATTGAGTAACGTGCCAGTTACCTTACATTGTTTTCTTAGCTATGGGAGGAAATCGGAGAACCCGTAAGAAACCCACGCAGATGGGCGGGAGAGAACACACGGAACTCCACGCCAGGAAGGCGCCCGGGTCGGGAATCGAACCCAGGCGCTTCTTACTGCGAGGAAAAAAATTGTTCCTGCCGGGCCGCCACCCTGCCACCCTCGCGACGACGACGGCGACGGACCGCAGTGGGAGCCTCACCGGGCGTGGACGGCTTGACATGCGCCAGACGCAGCAGGTCGCGGTGCGCGTAGCCGCAGCGCGCCCGGCACGCGGTGACGGCGCCGACGAGCGAGCGGCCCGTCTGGCCGTGGTACCAGCGGGACACGGCGCGGCGCTGGGCGCGGCCCCAGCGGCCCACGGCACCCCTGCCGCCTCCACCGCCTGCCCGACCTGAGCCACGCAATCACCGAGTCACCGCCGAGCGTTTAAACCCAGGGGTGGGGAATCAATGGCCCGCAAGATATTATCCAGCCCACACGGCCTTCATCCAGCAGTGGATTACTAAAGCCCCGAAAAAAGCATTATTTGAAGATAAAGGTGCAGCCCTGCAATTGCTCGCTCACGCTACTGCTGGTGACAGGGCATCCACTGGAGGGAAATCTGGAAGGTGTTTGACCGACTTTTTCACGTTGGTCAAGATGTACGTATGTAGAACTTCTTTCGCACCGCACGTAGCCAACCGCGCATTAGCGCGGTTGGCTAGGTGCAGGGGAAGGACAACAGTTTAAAGAAATTAGTTTTCAATTTGCATGACTTAGGAGAGAACAGTACACAATCTTTACCCCACTCTTTACCCCACCACCACAAAACCTACTGAGCGGAAGATTAAGAAACTTGCAACATTCTTTCAACTGGTTGGCGAGGCAGCGGAGAGACGTCTCGCCGTAGTGGATGAGTAGGCCAAGCAGCCCTCCTCGAGGGGAGGACAGTCCGCCACCAGCAGAGGCACGAGCATCCAATGGCAAGCGCTGTACCTTTACCCACTGGGCACCCTTGCGGACACCCTGCACACTCCATAACTTCCTTCAACACTCAACTCTGGCCACCTTGTCAACGTTCAACAGCAACAACAACAGCCCCCCCCCCGCCGCCCCCCCCACCTTTGGCAATCTCGTCGCGGCACTTCACGAACAAGAAGAGTTGTGCCGGGGTGCGGCACACGTCCGGCAGAGCCGCAAATGCCGCCCGCCGAGTCCTCTCCGCGGGTCCCGGCTCCCGGTCCTCTCGGCTCCGCTCTCCGGCAGCGCCGGCTCCCCCTTCTCCCCACCCCGGGGTTGCCTCCTCCGTGCCGGCGTTCGGCGCCGGCCGGTCCGCCGGATTTGCCGCGACGGTCTCTTCGGCGCCGTCGGGGCCGGCGCAGGAGGAACAGACGGCGAGGGCCAGAGCGGCGGCGTCGGCGTTGACCGGGGACCCGACGGCGGCGGCTGAGACGATCTCCCGGACGGCCGCCTCGCCCTGCCCGCTCTCGACGAGGTGCAGCAGCAGCAGAGCCTGCGCCAGCGAGCGCCGGCAGAAGTGGGGACAGCGGAAGTTATCCCCGGGCCGATACGGGTTTCACTCGTAACTGCATAAAGTGTGATACAGGGACTCCTCTACTTACGGACATTCGACTTACGAACTTTCAGAGACACGAACAAACCTGGTCCGTGTGTCCAGTTGCCTGTTCGGACCGAGAGTCGTAAGTTCAACCGCCGCGCAATAGATGGCGGTGGTGGCATCTACATCTCTAGAACGTGAAGAAGCAGTGGCATCTACATCTCTAGAACATGAAGAACCAGTGGTATCTACATCTGCAGAACATGAAGAACCAGTGGTATCTACAATATGAAAGTGACTCTTGTAGAATACGCTGACGACTTTCTCCTCTTCTTACAAAGCCTTTGACGATGTTGAACGGCTCTGCGATTGCCAGGGAGGTATATTCTCGTGCGACCTGCTCCAGGATTAATTGGGAGAAATGCAGCGGGATAATCGCGTGGGGAAGCGTGACGAGGCCCATTTTACCCCCGAGTTGGCCAACACCGTTGTGTGGAGCGAGGGAAGCCTTCGACATCTTGGCGTGCTCCTGGGGCCTGGAGAGAAACCACTCCAGAGAAACTGGGATCTCTTGGAAGGGTGTGGAAATGACTGGAACATTGGGGGGCCGCCTAACGTCAAACCCTCACGTTCAGAGGCAAAAACCCTGGCAGTGAACCGGTTTGGTTGCGTCCGCATTGTGGCACCGATTTTTGTTCCATCACTCCGCCCGCTCAATTGATCGTCAAGCTTCAGAGGATGACAGCGAATTTATTTTGGTCACATAGGAAGCACCGGGGGGTTGTTTTAGCTTTGCCACGGCGGGGAGGCGGGCAAGGTCTAACGTGCGTACGGAGTCAACTGTCCACCTTCTGCTTGCAAGCCGTGCAATTTGTTCCTGTACACAGCCCCACCACCCAAGTGATGTTTCACAGCACCTCTTTTTCTAAGTAATTTGGGGGGCTGCAGTGCAGCAAACAACTCGTCTATATGAACATTACGGGTGTCACGCTCGCTAAAGTGGATTCCCCATTTGTAGAGACCAGGGATTTCCTCGTCACTACCCGGGTGAATATACCCCGGTCAGCATGGGACCGCTGTTGCGGAATCCTGACAGGCGACTCCCCTCCCTCGTGGGTTTAGCTATAGAGAAGCGTTACAGTTGATGCGCGTCTCACCAAGGTAGGCGATCTGGTGAAACCAGGCACGCACGGTCAGTGACTTCTCCCGACTGATGGCTGCAATGACGGGACTGCATTCAATAAGAACTGAAACAGATGCCCATCAGCATGTACATTGTAAAAGCCTAGGCTCGCTTTTCAAGCTCCTACGCAATATCTTACTGAAATGTAAACTTTATAGAGGGCTTGGTGAACTTCGTCACAATGCGAAATTGGTGATCTAGAGGCCGAAAAATGCACAATTGAGGGAAACGGCTTAGACAGCCACTGTCGCATAATCAAGGTCCTGGTTTCTGCCAGAATTTGGCTGGAACGTCGGTATGCTCAGTTCATGAGGGGGTGTTGCAACCTTTTTGACACGTTGGGCTATAGAGGGTGCTCTGTGTAATGTGACTGACGGAGGGAATCTAGCAATGAGTTTTTTAAGGTGATTGTTTGTTTGTGTCTGCGAACACAGCAGTACACAATGGGACTTACGTTACATTGGAAAAGGTGTAAATGTGTTATATTTTTTGTGTAAAAAAGGCCATTAAAGCCAAAAATTTCAAACAAAAACGACATGATGAACGAAGCCAAGTGCCGAATAACCAATCTTGATTTGAAGTTTTCGTGACTGCGGGGATACATACTCTTTGGTTCTTTCGGTAAAGTCACGTAGGTATAAAATTAAATAAATTAAATCATAAATTGTGATTTAATTTATTTTAACCGAGCATCTTTTTCCTTCTTCTGATCGTAATAAAAGGAAGGAGGGAGGGAGGTCAAAGACTCCTCCGCTGTACATGCACAATCCGCTCTCTGGATGAGGGCCTCCCCACGCCGTGCTCATTGCCTCACAGGCACTTCACCTGAGCGTGCTCCTTAGTTGGTGGATCCACGCGCGCACGGTAAACGCTGCCCTCCGAGCCAAAGCAGAGGAAGCGGCGCAGGCGAGTGAGGCCGCTCACTCCCCAGCTCACGGGGCAGGAAGAACGTGCGGGATCCATGCGGCTGCCTCCTGAGAAGTGGGGGGGGGGGGTGGAGGAAATTGCGCTTTATTAACAGTCCTAATCAAAGGGCAGCCCATGACCAAATTAGCCGGCAATGCATACAATCTCGTCAGATCTCGAAGCTAAGCAGGGCTATGCCTGCTTAGTACTTGGATGAAAGGACTGCCTGGGAATATCGTGTGACGTAATCTTGGCATGCAAGATGGCCAGGAAATAGCAGGGCAGCAAGGGATGACATTTATATCCATCTGTGTGGCTTTTTCATTCAGGTTTTTACCCCTGCTATGTGTGGGCGCTTTGTCCGTGCGCTCCCGTTTCCTCAGACGCGGGGCCAATCTCTAATTCCATGGGATTGGCTGCACATCGCAATGTGGCAGCTGCCTTAGTGATGCTTGTTTTCCTGGACAAAGGGCATTACTCATCTCTGAGAGAAGCCACAAATTACGCCTCCTTTTTTTTATTTGAATGGATGCAAAAATGACACAACATTCACTCGTGAAAATCTCATTAAGGAATGGGCTGATATTCAACACGGTTTCCATCATTCTCTCATCGCCTGTGCCAATATGGAACCAGGCCCACGCTTGCCGTGGCCGCGTGTAAATATTAAGCCGCAGGCGTTACGGAGTGAAGTCTCGCGCCATGTGAAATTAAGTCATCGTATTCAAAGTAAGTCAGGAGCGTATAGAATTGAAGTTGCGGTTAGCAAGCGGGTTCAACACCCCTGGTTGATGCTCACAACAATGATCCTCGCCCGATCGAGCAACCCTTGAATTTTTCAAAGCACGTACAGTCAGCCACACACACCCGGCTCTTATGATTATATTAATACCTGCCGAGCCATTCACAATCTCAAGAATGACCATAACGGACGTGAGGGCCTGGTTACTAGGGTTCAATCACCAGCTATACCATGTGAGATATATCATAGCCTCAGGTACCTTTCTTTAGACACACGATGGTGCACTACTCACTGTGAGAGTTCCCAATGCACATGTTCTTAGTTCAATGACTTGATACAGACGGTAGAAAATAGAATGATTGGAGAAATGTGTTTTAACAAAGGGGCCGTCCATAAATGACGTCACGCGATTTTGGACGATTTTGACCCCTCCCCCCCCCCCCTCATCGTCACACGGCGTCACAAAAAGTCAGACCCCCCCCTCAAACGTAACGTCACAAAGCTCTGCCCCCCCCAACAAAAAAACATGCTTCAAATCGCTTTAAACTATTGTCATTGTAGTGCGTATTTAATGTGGAGCTGCATTCTGATGTTGTAGGAGAAAACATTTATTTAAAAGTATATTTAATTAAGTAGAACGTGTTGTCTATATTTATTTAAAGCTAGCGGAAGTACCCGGCGTTGCCCGGGTAAAAAATATATTTCTTAAAAACCTTACATATATACACAGATACTAAGGTATTGTCAAAGCCTGGTGGGCCGTTTGAACATTTCTATACCAACAAATATATAAGAGGCTTGCACAAGTCCAAAAAGTTGTAGAAAGTGTGGGATAAATAGTTGATGTAAAAGGTTTCCGAAAATTGTGGACCCCCCCCACTCAAAAAATATCTTTACCCGTCGTAGGTATATATACCTACACACCTTACATACAACAGAGGAAGTAGTATCTATTGACTCTGTAGTAGTATCTACTGACTGTACCGTCGTATCTACTGAGCCAGTAGTAGCTACTGACTGTGTAGTAGTATTTACTGACTGTAGTAACTACTGACCATCGTAGTATTTACTGGGCCTACAGTATCTACCGACTATATAGTAGTAACGACTAACTGTATTGTATCTGCTGACTCTATAGTAGTATCCACTGACTATAGTAGTAAGTACTAACTCTATAGCAGTATATACTCACTCTATAATAGTATCTACTGACTCTAGTAGCTACTCACCGTGGTAATATGTACTGACTGTATAGTAGTATATACTGACTGTAGCAGTATTGACTGACTGTAGTGTTATATACAGACTGTTTTAGTATCTACTAACTCTATAAAGCATTATCTACCAACTCGATAGCAGTATCTACTATCACTACAGCAGTGTATACCGACTGAGGTGGTACCTGCTATGATTACAGCAGTGCATACCGACTGTGGTGGAACCTGCTATCACTACAGCAATGCATACTGTGTTGGTACCTATGACAGCAGTACATACCGAGTGTGGTGGTACCTGCTGTGATGACAGCAGTACATACCGAGTGTGGTAGTACATTCTAGATTTGAAGCTTTCGTGACTGCAAGGATTCATATTCTTAAAAAATAATAAAAGTAAAATAAAAAATATTTTTATTTTACTTTTATTAATTAAAATGTTTTACCTACGTGACTTTACCGAAAAAACCTAAGAATATGTGGTAGTACATATATTACATACACAAATACAAAAAGTTAAATGTACGTAAAAAGTATTTGTGTATGAATTTAACGTGTTTAGGAGAATAAAAACTGTAATACTAAATAAGCAATGCAACTGTGAACCCAAATGATGGACCACATAATAAGCCAGTGTAGTCTCCGTCTCTTCAATGTAGGAATAGCAGGACTTGCATAAGCTCTCTGCTGAAGCCTTTTCGTTGCCAGCAGACCTGAACATTGACATTTAGCTCTCCAAAAGTGCCATACGCAAGAAGGCAAACAGAAACATGTATTTAATTGTAGTTAACATTTATTTAGTGCCTTTTTATACAGCTTTTGACTCAGGTGCAACCGCAACAAACAAAAACATGAACAAAGAACATCTTAAAGTGACGACGCGCGACAGAAACATCCAGGAAAAAACAGCAAAATCTTCCTGAAAAAACACCGTATATTAACGCTGTGCGCAAAAATCCCAGTGGGATGCAAGTCTAACAAAAACAACCACAAAACAATTTTGATTAAAGTTATCAGGCTAACTCTGTACTACTACATAACATGTACATGCCTTTGTCTTATATCGAATCCAATGAGTCATAAGTATATGGTCAATGGTAGAAAAACATGTATATATTTGTACTATAGTAAGGCACTACAAAAAACACAAGACTATGTAACTTGTAATAGGAAAAAGGGGGAAATGGGGAGAAGGGAAGTAGGGCAGGTAAGATCCGAGGCAAAAGAACAACAGCGCACGGGCGGTGCCGCAAACAACCTCTGGCTGCAAGATCGCGGACAAGAAAAACTGCCACTTTTTTCTGACCAACACCCCCCTATCAAAGAGCTTCTTTGTAAACAATATTTCTGGTCCTGCCTGCTGGTGCAAAGTAATGTAAAGAATTTCCATTGCCTACACGAGAGCATCCAACATAAAGTTGGCCATGAGAAAAGCACTGATTTGCCAAATTCAGTCCCACCACTTTTAAAGATTGTCCTTGCGCCTTGTTAATGGACATGGTAAAGCTAAGCTGGATGGGGAATTGAAGCCTCTTAAATTCAAAGACTGTGTCATTTGGGATTATAGGTATGCGAGGGATAAAGACGTCCTCACCTTTAGAATGGCCTGTAATGATTGTAGCTTTGATAACATTTGAATGTAAATCTTTCACAATTAACCTTGTGCCATTGCACAGTTTAGGTGGGTCCAAGTTTCTCAATAGCAAGACAGGTGCCCCAATTTTTTGTCGTAAGTTGTGTGGTGGAACAACCGGGAGCTGCAGAGAATTCAAGAATTCTACTGGATAGTTAACAATTTGATCATGGTCCAACACTGTCAATAGATTTGTAGGACTTGCTTTCTCCAGATAATTTCTGCAACAACATAGAATTTATTCTGTGAACGGCATCATTTTTTGGAGCCAAAATGGCCCTCTCCTCTAGCCAGACAACATCTTGAAAGTGTTGTTGCATGTTTGGGTAAGCTTTTTCCTCCAGTTCCTCTTCTGAAGTGGAAAGGATGCCTTTAGGCATGGTGATAAGTCCATCTGTTCCGTCAGCAAGAATTCTGCCATTTCCAATATCAAGAAGAGCTTCAGCAAAGTTTCCTGCCTCTTGGTCTCCATGGAGATATACACGCATGTTTGTAGTTAGTCTCAGTTTCAATACGTGGCTCCAGAAGAATGCAGACTTGATGCAGGCATTTAACTCATCAGCTTTGGTTCCTCGAAGTACCACAGGTAAGGTTTGTCGGAAGTCACCAGCCATGAGAAAAGTTACACCACCCATAATCCTGGAATTGTTGCGGAGGTCCTGCAATGTTGTGTTGACAGCCTCAAATGCTCCCTTGTGGGACATGGTGCATTCATCCCACACTATTAATTCACAATTAACCAGGACTTGTACAAGGGCAGTCCCCTTTGAAATATTGCAAACAGGGTTTTCTTGTCAGGATAGATCTAATGGAAGCTTGAATGTGGAATGGGCAGTTCTTCCTCCAGTAAGCAGAGTTGCCGCAATCCCTGATGATGCCACAGCCAGGGAAATTTTCTCCTTTTGGTGAACCTTAGCCAGGAGCAGGTTGAGGACAAAAGTCTTCCCAGTACTGCCAGGTGCATCAAGGAAAAAAATGCCTCCATTTTTTGACTAAATGTCTTCCAAGATGTTTGTGTAGGCTTCTCTTTGTGCATCCATCAGCTTTGGTTCATTTTCCTCAATAAATTTAAGAAGCTCTAAACCATCATAGGATGTTTCACGTAGGATCTCTTGTGCAAGGCCATGCATATTTTCCCTGGAGGGTGTGGGTAGTCCGATAGCCCGGATGTCTTTCCCAGCAATGGATTGAAGTTTATTCTCCAGGAGGATGAGGGTCTGGTTAAAGATGTCATTATTAAAGTGCACATCGATGTTTGGATTTTCTCGCTGAGCTTTGTGGAGGATGTCCTCACTCATGACCTCTTTGTATTTTTCCCAAAGTCCTGTGGGGTTTGAAGGGCTGCAAACTTGAATAATAATGCAAAAGAGCATTCTGAGTTGAGAAGAGGATTGACTAACAGAAGCCTCTGTGATAGCTTTGTCAAGATGCTGGTCATCCTCAAGTATTCCACGAAGACTGCAAGCTTCCCTGTATGTT